AATCATCTCTTCAGACAAGGATTCTTTTTCCCATCACTTATACATTACACTTGAACAACAAGGAAAATGAACGTAACCGTCGACCACATATCGTTTAAAAGATGATTATCGTCAAACTGATATGTGTACAGACGAATAATATGTCATGTCCTGATACACGTATAATATGTTTTTTCGGCGCTTCAACTCTGTCATAATTGACACATGCATAAGTTAATAGAAACACTTCTCTTCTCTGTCAGAATAGTCATGTGGTGATCATGGAAACGATAAAAATAATCAGAAAATTATGTATCCTAATAATATCTATTTCAATTAGTAATCTGTTTGTTCATCATTGATTGACATTTTATCTGAAGATTTGGCACAATATTCATTCTAATGAAAAGAGATGTATACTGATGGGTATCCAGCAACAATTGGTAGTTTGAGATTATGATAAAAATTCAATTTAACAAGCATATTTCATATGCATATTTTTTTCTAAAAACTTGTATGATTGTTTGTATTAATATTTATCAAACTCCTATATTTTACATGTTCACTTGGATACTATGTCCATTTAATCTGTTACATAGAAAAACTTTGTTTTCTTTTGGTTCGATTGAAATTTCTTTCATTGACTGAAGTATTTTAGACAGAGGCGGCGGAACGATTCTAATCTATGGGAGGCTCAAAACTCCTCAGGCAATGATACGAAGGTGATGTACGAGGAGGGGGTATTTTCTGGCTTTTCAACCCTAACTCTTATCAAAGAGATATCGGATATCTCGATGTTTTTTCAACAGAGTTTATTTTGCATATATCCTTCTATAGGTGACTGATATAATCTTGGAGTATTTTGGAAAGATGTTCTATGGAAGTTGTGAATCTTTCGTGATTTATTTCTTTAGTATTTACAGGATTCGTTTTAATCACAAAATTTCTCTGCTTCATAGCATAGAACATAATATAACTCTATTAAAAAAACCATGATTTTGAAGAAAAAGCTTTCATCTTCAGTTGTTCTTCATCTGAAGTCTTGTCTACTTTCATCTTCGATCACATGCCCGTGTTTGCCTCAATTTCGTTCAGTTGACGATGAAAGTAGTACATAAGTACAGGAACTTACAGAAAAATTTCGAAAAAATGGATCATAGAAGCTGCTGTTGAATTCTCTACACCAATGCATCACAATGTCTTGTCGACCTGTTGTAATGAGTTCTTAGAATAGTGAAACATAGGATATATAAAACATTGCTATGTCATATCATACTGAAAGTAATAAAAATATTTGTCATATTTATTTTCTCACATAAAAACCCTGAAAACTTGAATCTGTTTTTAAAGAAGCAAAATGTTCTCCTGAATTGTCTTAATTGGTTTTGACAGAACTAAAAGCAAAGGCGTGCAAGATACTATTTTTTTCACTTTTCTGAAATAAATTTGCTTCCCTATTTAAATAACTAATTGCCTAACTGTTCAATTTTAATTCTTTAAGGCGATCTTCAAACAACAAACATATAATTTTGGTATTATCATTGCATTCAGTAGTGTGTTTTAATGCATTAAACTTGATTTTGATAAGAATTAGGCTTTTTGTAGCGTTCAGTTTACTGTTATCGTGAAAAATTACACAGCGCCGTACAGCATTACTTCTTTCCTCCTTTCCAAATTGATTACAATAAACCAGGAAAACCTTTTTCTATGAATATTGTGGAAAGTGTAAGCACACATCTTTAAAAGAAATTCATATTTTTATCATTTTCTGGCGAAAATAACGTGCGGTGCAAAAGAAATGGAAAAAATGTCGAAGTCTGTTAGACCATATTATCAACTTCTCGATCAATAAATTCTTTTTTGTCGAAAAGAGCAATGTCTGAACTGCAACTTTTGTACCGCGCATATTTCTTCAGAACGTCTCTGAGAAGGAGGAAAACCCAAAAACTGGACATCTCTATAAAAGTGCTTGCAACGTTTTTGTAATTTGAAAAATCAGTATTACTTGATTATTTTGAGCTACATAGATCAAGTTTTAATCTAAAATACACCAAAATGGAGTGCATTAAAAACACTGTCAATACCACCTTAGGTAAATTATTTTATGTCCGTATTGACTCTTTAATCAGAAAGGTTTGAAAAATGAAATTTTTGTAAAATAAAGGCGTTTACAAGAATTATTAGTTTGCAAGAATATCAGCCATCATCTATAGAAATCACACATAAATTCAATTCTTTTTGCGTTATTTGTGTGAAATATGTGAGATCATGAAAACTTAGCAGCAAAAAATAATTCAAAAAACCATTTTTTTACCTTTGCAGAACGGTCAGTCAAACCTTACTGACAAATCATGCAGTCTCTTTCAAAAAAATCAATACTTTGATATGAAAACCAAAGATAAACTTGACATGCAATATACCACTGAAAAAAGCATTCTTTTTGCTACAAAAATCATCATTAAACGTGATTTGTAAATATTCAAAGAAAATAAAAAATGATGCTGCTAAGAGATGAAGTTGCAAGTACTGTTTTAGAGACATCCAGTTTTTGGCTTTTCCTCCTTCTCAGAGACATTCTGGAGAAATATGTGCGGTACAAAAGTTGTAGTTCAGACCTTTCTCTTTTCAACAAAATAAAATTTATTGATCTAATAGTCGGCAATATGGTCTCATAGACTTCGACATTTTTTCCATTGCTTTTGCACCGCATGTTAGATGCAAAATAGGTATTATTTCATATAGTAAGCTAGCAGGAGTTTTTGATAGTTATTTTGGACACCACCGGCAACGTATTTTTTGAAAAAAATCAAGATTTTAGCATTTGTGCATGCGAAGATACATGCAATATAAGCTATGTTGATAACATTTTGTGATATTCATTCTCAAATTCGGAATGACATTCCTAAAATTTTCTCAACTATCTGGTCTCTCCCAGATGTTGCTCTTGATTTTTAGGTGAGACTTGAGCTTTCTTAAGCGCAACTGGTTTGCCGCTTATTGTGCTATCTAGCATGAGACTGAACGTACTATTGTTCAAAGAACTTTCGCATACTAAATATAAGCTCATGATAAGATTTGTGAGGTTTTTCCAAAATATAAGCCTTCCCAAGCCTCCCCTGCCTGTTTCTAGGGGAGGCTTGAGCCTTCCCAAGCCTAATGGCTCCGCCGCCACTGATTTTAGAACAAATGACGTCATTTAATCGATCATATATAAGATAATCGTAAATAAAAATCACTAATTCTAAAAACTTTTTTTGGAACAAGAACGATTTTTGTTGAAAGTAAATTGCCTTTTTTTATTTGTTGAATTTATCGATAGATATATACGAAGGACATAGTGATAGAAAGAGTTTTAAAAATTTCAGAAGCAAAAACCGATTATAGACGCAAACAGAATTTTCTGTTCTTTTGAAATACCAGTTGCAGAAAGAATCATTATTGGTGTTGATGTAAATATATATCTGTTATGATCATGAGTATATTAAAAAAACGGAAATAGTGATTTAAATCTGCATTCAATTCTATAAAAGATGTCCACACATTTGAATTTGTCCCGACTATCTTCACCATAGTCGGAAAAAAACTAAGTCATGATGATTTTATTCGTTGTATTCGTTCTTTTACTGATAGAAAATTTCTTTTTGGTTTTGTTTTTCATTCTTTAAGAATGTCATAATTCAAGCAAATTCATTTTCGGGAAGACATTTTAAAAATAAAATGTCATAACATAAGAAGAAAGAAAAAGAAATGAAAACACTAGTCACCGAGACGACAAAAAACATGCTTATTTAAGAACAAAACAAAAGCATACATTCTTTTTTTCTTTCGTTTGTCACCAATTTCTCAAGGATATTTTATATTCTTGATGTACGAAATTTTTTTTATCAGAGACGAGAACAAAATTTCATCTTTCACACAAAAATTAAGTATCCTTCATAATAGAAATATTAGTTAATCAAATAATTTCTTTTCATACGAAAACTCAAAAAATAAAAACAAAGAACTAGATTATAAGTGACTACTGTATTGAATATCATCATCAATTGAGTATATATCATTGATTGGTGGTTGAAAAACGAATTAGTGTGTGGACGTGGACGCCATGACGTACTGCTCTTAATCTTAACCCATAACAACAGACAGCATCAGAGCCAGATCCTCACTCACATCCAGACAACAGTAATAGTCAGTTGCTTGTGCCTTTAACAACCATTCAACAAAGAGAACTCTATTAGAAGTTGTTTCATCTGATAGTATTAAAGAGAAAATTACTTTATAATCTACGCTCCTTGTAAAAAATTTAAAAACATGTGTGAAAACGTTATTTAATTTCAAGTAAATTTTCATGAAGAGAAAAATTGTGAGAAGTTAATCATCTGAACCGTACCTAGAACTGTGAAATTGAAGCAGATGTCAAAAATTAAACCTACATCAAAGTGGAACATCGTTAGCTTTTTTTTTTTGAAATGTTTTACGAAAACGATTTGTTTTAGAAATCATCTTACCGTACAAAGTGTCAGATGAGTTATTGAAAATACAGAAATGTCTCCTTTTTCTTGGCCAGAAATTAGATATTAGGTTTAACTGAAAAACGTAAACCATATCGTTGATTATGATTACCAGAAATCAAGCATGAATTTTACAGGGTGTCGGTGTGATAGAGAATAAAATTATGTTTAATTCTTAACCTTCAAATTTTATAAAAAAATAATGGTTTTTAATGTTTTATTTTATAAAAATCAATCAAAACACAAGCAAAGTGTTGGTCAAGTTGTTAAACCTAAATAAAATACTTATCGAATAAAATACATTAAAATTCAAGTATCACGTCGATCAACATTGATGTTAATATCATCCAAAGATAATATTTAGAGAGAAAATGAAAGTTTTTTTCATGAATTACTTAAATTATCAATGTTAAATATATCTTAATGAAATGATCATTTAATTTTTTAATTCAAATTTTATTTTAGAACTAAAATTAAGATTTTATTGTGAATATAGTAAATAACTATTAAAAATTAAAATTGATCAAAATAATATTTGTAATCTTCAATTGTAACCTTCAATAACGAATATGTTAATGTTAATCGAAATAAGATGTGAAAAAATGATTTCATAATCCTAAATAGAAGTAGCAACAACATCGAATTACTAATCATTTTCAATAAAAAACATATTTTGTTGATAAGTTTGTTGAAGTTAAAGAGCAATTTTTTTTTTGAAATACAAATTCAAATATTCACATAAAATATCTATGAAATTTGTTAATTAGATTTTCCTTATCTAGTAACAGTTTTTTTTAAGTTTAAATAAACATTTAAAATGATTTTATTTATTTGAAAAGATATACGATTATTTAGACTCATTAATCTATATAATTTGTCTTTGTTAAGAATTGTTTCATGAATATATAAAGAAAAATATTTATTCTTTTTATTTTCTTATGAGATATTAATATTAATGCTCATTTAAAAACAGCAACCTGATAAGTATCTTTCGAAAGACTCTTGTTGTTTTTGAGCATCAATGTTAACGTAACCATCACATATCATAATAAAGTGTAAAAAAAATATATATTTAAAATTTTCCTTTTTTCTATTCTTTATCTGTATTGTAATATATCCAGCGGATGAGTTATTACTCAAATTGAGGACGAATGTATTTTTTTCTCCATCCTTCCATTCGATCATCGTTCGTTTGCTACAATGGCGAGTGCACGACATTCAAGTTATCTTTACAAATACGAGACGAAAACACAGACAAATTGAACATAAAATGTTTAAAGACGACAAAGATATCGTGCACTCAATATTTCATTGCTTGACAAACACCAGTTGTTATCATGCGCTGCGTATTATCATTCCCTAACGTCGACGTCGTCTTTTATCGCGTCTTTCCGTTTTCATACCTTTTCTTTCTTCCGTTTCTACTTCTTCTCGTTCTTCGTAACAGAAGAATAAAAATAATTTTCTAACTAATGGAGCTTTCGAGGGTGGCTCTAAAATAAATGAACCTTCCCAGGGATAACCGACGCTCCGTTGGTGACCCGTGCAGATGGTAGGCCTTCACAGCATACATCTATGTATGTATGAATAGAAGCGTCCATTTCGTCATCGTCTTTTCGAAGATGATGATCATGGTCGTACTAGTCATACATACATCGATGTATGTTTGCCTAACCATTGCCGGCTTTGTCCACTGTGCGAGCCAGCAGAATACGGAGGGTATCTCTGGTCGTGCGTGTGCGAAATTTTGCAGCTCCTTGCTTTGGTGAGCTTAGATTTCAAGATGGCCAGTTTACTTTCTCGTTAAAAAGGAAAAAAAAAACAGTTACATTTTCGTTTTTACAATTGCAATGTTTCTTTCCACAAGAGCAATATGTGGATGATTTGCAGGAAGTGATTTTTGGAAGATTTCTTGAGCTTTCTCATAATGTGAAAGTGCTTTGGAGTACTCGTCCATGTTGCTATACACGATACCGATGTTGAGGTAGGACGAAGCGAAGTC